AATACTCTTCTAGGACCAATTTTGGATAACTTGAATAAACTCTGTCACTCGTCCCTGGATCCTCTACTGTCTGTATAGGTCCCTTTTAATGTCTGGTCACCAAAGTTACATAGGATATTCTACTAAGGAGTTACTGAAGCAGGCCAGATGAAAGGATTATGTCCCTTCCCTTATATAGCCACCACATTCACTTTCATATGTTCACGAGTGTTGACAGGCATGCTCACAAAAGCAGTGCTTCATTCTGGCTGTCAGATTGAGGTCAATTACTTATTTTGACTCTCTTGAGAAACGAGAGCTTAAAATGCATTAACATGAGTCCAAATCAAAATCAAATGAAACTATAAATAGCGTTGTACAGGACTTTTTCCTCAATTGAACCGGTTGCAATCTTTTTAATATAACCTATTCCACCTTTAAAACAAAGAATTTGACTTTAAAGTTACATGGAAAATCTGGCAACCTCCTTGAGTAAACTTATTCTTGCAGAAAGTAAGATCTTTTGTCATTTTAAAAATTATAAAGATTTTTAATTCAAACAACATTACTTTAGAGTATTTACAGACAAGTAGTCTGTTGTCTTAATGGTCTCAGGGAATAGATTTATAAACAATCAAAATATTACAAGCAAGAGTAAAGAAACTTTACTATTGCCATTTGGCTCACCATTTCATAGATAAATAAATCATTCCGTGACACAGAAACTGATGTTTATAACATAAAGTGTTCTACCTGGACCACCTATGTGATTTAGCCAGAGAAATAAATTTAGAAACTAAAAGTTACTGATCACTTACAATTTGTCAACTGGAAATTCACAATAAATGTCTACATAAAAGGTTCAAGTACTCATTCAAGCTTCCAGAATCAATTTAAAAGTAATCACTTCCTAGATACTGCTAACCAATAAATTCTAGCCTTATATACACTGCAACATGTCTAAATTGACTCAAAAAGGCATTATCAAATGAACAAAGTGAGATATCCAAAGTGTAAATTCAGTTTCTCAAATTGAGTGATTTTACTCAAAAAATGGCGAGACAGAAATTTCATAAGTCTTTCAATTCAAGGGAAATCAGGCTAAGACTGGTCAGGGAAAGATTCACTCTCCTAGGCTATTTGCATTTTCTATCCAGCATGTCTTTAATTTTATAAATTTCATGCTGTTTGTTTCCATGGTTACCAGCTCTTAATCATAATGAGCACCTGGTCTATACAGGGGAATTAATATTTCCCTGTGAAATGCACATACTAATTATTAGTAACCTCCCTACATTTTTGCAAGGACTAGTTTAAGCTCTTGACCTCTAGCAAATATTTTCTTTTTTTTAACTTTTATTTGAGGTTTGGGGATACATGTGCAGATTTGTTACATAGGTAAACATGTGTCATGGGGGTTTGTTGTACATATTCTTTCATCACCCAGGTATTAAGCTCAATACCCAATAGTTATCTTTTCTTCTTGCAAAGATTTTCAAAGGGTGTCTTTAACTTTCTTTTTGAATTTTGTATATTATATGGACTTCAGTTATTTCATGATAATTGAAATTTTCGAACATTTCACAACGTATGTTGACAGGGAACATCTATACTTGTCAGTATGTGTGCTTTTGAGCCTGGGTCAGATATACTGTAATTTTGTAAAAAACACTTTTTTGTGCATATTTATTAAATTTCAGTCAAAATCCACTGATAAATTAGGTGAATACTGGTATCCCCTCATTCACCAAACTAGGGCCTAGAGGGAAGTACACAAGCACCAGCAACCCCTCAATTAGTCAACATGATTAGGCTTCCTAAGTGACATTAGAACACCTTATTTCAAAGAAAATTAAAATGATTTTTGATCCTGTGGACATTTTCCACATGGCAATATGTGGATAATGATTAAAAGTATAGAGTTTGTCATATTTCCTGGATATATACCACTCAGTAGTTATGTGACCTGGCGTAAATTACTTAACTATGCCTCAATTTCTTCATCAGAGAATGACAATAGTATCCAGTTCACAGGATTATTTTAAGGAGTAGAAGGGCTTATATTTGTTAATGTGTGGAATAGTTACTGGTGTACATTAGTCACTATTTTAAGTGTTTGTTAAATATAAATGTCAATCTGACCCTATGCAGCATGAAACCCTGTTTTCTAAGAAAATGTTTTTTTCCATAATAAATGTTTGTTCATACTCTCATGATGGAAGCTAATTCTGATTTTAAATTTCCTTGTGTAGCACTTAATAAATACTCTATGATCAGCTACTTCCATGTCTAAAAATCTAATCTGTTGCCAATAATAGTGGCACTGACACTGACCACACTGAGCCACTTTACATGTCACCTCATTTAATCTGCATTAACAACCCTATGAAGATTGGTGATCCCCTTATTACAGATGAGAAAACTCAAGTTTCAAAAACTTAGATAATTTGCACAGGTTTACAGAACTAAAAAGTGGCAGAGGTAAATTTGGAATTAACCTCTGATGATCCCCAAACCCTGCCTTAATCAGTCCATTACCATGGATAAAGTGCTATATAGATAACGTCACAACTTTTCAAAACTAGAACTTTGTCGCATCCAGTAATTTTTAACCTACTCCAAGAAGGTCAGAAATATAAGTAAAAGTGGAATCTGTCGTGCCTATGAGTGGGGTCTCTCTACTTCCCCATTCTCCACAAGCTTGCCCATATGATTGATTCCCACAGACAACTGATGTTCACTGGTGGCAGGAAGGACCATATACATAATGGGCTCTAGGTGGTGCCTGGAACTGCGCCCAAAATGACCTTTTACACCTCTCCCATACACTTCCGTAAATGCTAGTACAAGAGGTATTTAGCCTCAGTAGACGTTCTCTGCAATAGTTGAACAGCTCTGGAAAGTGTAGCTTATCCCATCCTTTTGGCCTAATGAGTAGTTAGTTCTAACATTCTCAGTGATTAATGTCCTATTAATTATGGGAAATACTGACTAGGTCTGGGTTTTAATTGTGAAGCTCCAGTAAAATATTTTGACTCACTTGGCTTGGGTCAATTGCTAATGAGGAAGTCTGGGTTTTATAAATTCCCTGACACACACCAGTCATTGCAAAATCCTGGTATTGGTCTGTCCTGCATCCTCTGATGGATCCCAGAAGTGCCTTCCTTCAGGGTCTACCAATGACACTTCTAACAGAAAAAATGAGCAGAAGCCACTTCTTTTTTTTTTTTTCTGCAACCATTTCTGGGTAACATCTGATGGAAAATTTTGCTCTCCACTGCTCAGTTAAGTAACTAAAGTTCTTTAAGTATCATTGATGCCATTAATCTCTATTTTAGTAAAGGATGATGTAGGCACAGATTTGTTTGAATCAAAAGACTAAATTCTGGATTCTATAACCCTAGACACTTAATGTCAAAAGAACAACTACATAGAAGTCTGTAGAAGCATTCACGTAGCTTGCGAAAAATGGGAGTGTAGCATTGCTTCAGAAAATTGGTGTTTCACATTGCTACCAGAGATGTTCACAGGCAGCACTTGTGGTTAGTCGATGCTGGACACAGAAGCAGCTGCTCATCTATCATCGCCTTTTTTAGAAGACAGACCACACATGTGCAACATGGCAGTTATTATCCCGGTCAGCAATCTAGCCAAAATATCTAATCAGGTTTACAGCTAGGAAATAACAGTTCACTGAGACAGAGTGAAGACATGTTAAAAATCACACAGTAGGAGCAGGTCAAAGAAGTGAAGGAGATATCATATTCGTGGTACTCCAGAAATTAATCCTTGCAACTACATCAGCTAATATTGGAACCCCGCCCCCTGAGATCGACATTTCCAAATATAATATATATCACAAACTAACAGAAACCATTATAATTTAAAGAGAAAGTATCTTGCCACTTACAGACTCTTTAAACTTAAAACCAAACCAGTATCTTTAATGTTGACATGCCTAGAAACAAGTCTGTAGCAATACTAACTTTAAACTAGTCTCTGCTGACTTTAGCTAACTAAAATAAACACATAAGGAAAAATAAACATGTAGGGAAAAACAAAATGTTCACAGTAGGATATGAGAGAATATTTTGGAAGCCATAAAAATATAGCTCCTATTCCAAATATAATTGATTACAAAGGCACAAAAGTAGCTCAAAACAAAGGATGCAATGAACGAAACCTTGTTAAAATAATCAAGGTTAGAGAAACAATGTTGACGTTATTGTGCAGTTATTCTCAGATTTCCAATTTTCTAGTCACCTTGGTTTGGTTTATTTGGCACCTCTTGGTCTCTCATAAGATCTTGTTGGCACATTTATCTAATCAAATCATTATTATTATTAGGCAACATTACTGAGCACCTGCTGGGTGCCTATTAGGAGCCAAGAATATATATCTTCGCTAGAGAGACTAGGAACGTGTAAGAAAAAGGGTAACTGACAACACAAGAATACATGCTAATTATGGGCATTGAACTGAATGTACCTGCATTATCTAACAGACTGAACCAGGGGACTTTCAGATCAGGCAGGTGGCTTCACACCCAATCCTCATCATTAATAATTTATAATGTGAGGACAGCAAATAAATTTTCAAATCAGTGAATATGAAAGAGTTCAGAAGATCAGATGACTACAAAGGTTCAGGAAGGAGTTCACAGTTATTAGACTACTGAACGAGCGTCTTTCAGAAAGGTTACGACTTACATATACAAATAACTAATTCTTGTTTTATGATTTAAAAGCAGTATTTTTACATCTTTTCATAAATATGTAGGGACATTCGGGGCAGAGGTTTCACAAAAACATAGCTGGGAAGGAATCACCGCAGTGCACTGTTGAATAGATTGTCACTTTAGGACCTGAATCCTGAGAGATCTTCTGCAATAGGGCTAAACCCATTTTTCCTAAATCCTTTTTTGCACTACAGATGTTTAACCTTTTATGATATGCCTTATTAACCGCGCTTTTTCCCCATTGATTAAAAAATTAATAAATGGCATATGGTTCATCAGGAAGATGGTGACAGAGATTTCCTGCTTCAGAAACGTTGGAAGCCGCTGGTTTAAAAGCATCCGGAACAGAGGGCTCTACTCGGGTTCTCTCCCCGCTGCGTCATTTCAGTCGAGGAAAAAGACAGAATTACAAGTGCGCCTTACAGACTCAACAGGGTAGAAAACTTGCTATCATTTCTTTTATTTCGAAGTGAGCTTTTATATAAACACACGAAACCATGCATTTAACAGTAAAACTGGGCAGTGAAAGGAAGCCCCGGGCGTTCGCGACTTCTCGCCTCCGCTAGAGCGTGACCGTCACGCCCACTGCCACTTACAGGGGGAAACGCGCCGGGGCATCATGGGAGTCGGCGGCGGCAGGGATTGTGGGAAATGTAGTTTGGAGACTCCGCCCTCCTCGCCATTCCTGTAATGGCTGCTTCCTGGAAGGTAATGTACGAACTCGTCTCCGACGGATACTTAGGTTGCACCAGTGTATTTGTAAAACAGGAGCAAATTTGGGCCTTGCCGTTCCAAAGTAGGAATTCTTTTTCAAATCTTAATATCAAGTCCTGAAATGAACTTATCTCTCTGTTCTGTTTCTTTTTACCTTTTCTTGTGTGGGTGAAGTGACCAACTTTTAAGTCTAGTTCCTTGTTGGACAGACTGTTTTCTCTCCTCATTACCTATCCCTCTACCGTCCATATGGCCTCCACGCTCTGCACTGACTCTAGCTGCCTCTTTAAAATAATAATAGTAATAATAATTAATTTTTAAATCCTTCTCTCCGCCCCCTCCCCACCCCCCATGCTAATAATAGGTCGTGTCACGTGGAACCTCTTAATCTCAGCATCCGGAGCTCCAGGAAGGGAAAATTTCAAGTCAGATAGAATTCTATATATACAATTTATTTGGTAAGTCTTATTAATTCCCCACAACTTCGCAAAGTTATATGTTGTGTGACTTTTGCCAAATTTGTCTGCATTTCCTGGATGGGAGAGACCCTGAGAAAATGTATAATTTTTACCCACTGGGATATTTTAAGTTTCCAAGTTAGTGGCTCGTGCATTTTTTCTTTCTTTCTTAATTATGAACTCCTGTTCAATTTTTGGTTGGTTGATGCACAAGGTGTTGGCATTATCGTGGAAAATTCCTGGAATTAGATTGTTATCATGAGATAGGGAGATGAGCCTCAAATTACTGTCTTTAACGTCCCTCTGTTTTTCCACCTATAAGATGAGGAGATGGATTGGAAATGATTCATAAAGTGTCCAAAAGATTGGCTGGCCTGTTATTTGTCATGTGTTCATTTTGTCATTTGAAAAGGGAGGAATTTTTAATGGTTCCTTTTTGTTTCCATGTTTAATTTCTAGGAACCTTCAGCCTCCAGATTCCAACATCATGACCTCAGTTTCAACACAGTTGTCCTTAGTCCTCATGTCACTGCTTTTGGTGCTGCCTGTTGCGGAAGCAGTAGAAGCCGGTGATGCAATCGCCCTTTTGTTAGGTGTGGTTCTCAGCATTACAGGCATTTGTGCCTGCTTGGGGGTATATGCACGAAAAAGAAATGGACAAATGTGACTTTGAAAGGCCTGCTGAGTCAAACCTCAACTTGAAAACCTTTGTGCTATAGAGGCTAAACCTGAGCTCTGGTGTGTGAAAGGTTCCAAGAATCAGTAAATAAGGGAGTTTCACATTTTTCATTGTTTCCATGAAATGGGAACAAACATACATTTATAAATGAAAAAAAAAAATGTTTTCTTTCCAACAAATAATGCACAGAAAAATGCATCCTATAATTTGCTAGTTAGAAAGGAGGTCAAAGAAGTAAAATGGCTGAAATTTACATAAGTAATATTTCATAATCTTAGAATTCTCTCAAAGCATGTGAAATAGGAAGAAGGAAGTTCTTGCCCAGAATCTTAGGAAATCACCACTGTTTGGTTATAATCACTGCCTCCTGAATCGTTGAGGAGACTGTTCTCCTTTTTTTAATTAGATTTTTTTTTTGTTGTCTCCCAAGTTAATATTATATTTAGATATCAGAGAGTCAGCCAAAAAGGAAAACTTTTATCTCTGGGGAAAAAAACATTTAGAAAAGTGTATTCAGTGTATCTAATACTGAAATGCAGAAAAAATCTAATGTTAAAAAAAAAAAAAACTATAGACATTGACATGGAAAAGATTTAATGTTTTGAAAAAAAACCTTTATATTAACCGAGTAACATCCTCCTGATGAGAAGTACTATATTAAATATAAACCCATTATGTTATAAGTTAATGTGTCGTGTCCATTTCTTATTTGGGGCTGTTTGTATCCATTGTGGATTTTTATATGAGCTAAGTGGAGAAGGGGAGGATGCCTTGTGTTAACTGATTGCGGTAGCTTGAAGAGACATAATCAGTGACAAATTAGAACTGGGCAGCATTAAGGTCAGAGAAGCCCCTGATAGAAAATCTAGAAATATAGAAGGAAAATGAAATGGCCTAAACTGATTTGCACGCCAGCCAAATGAAATATCCTCTCTGGCCTAGCTACTTAAAGTGTCTTCAAGCCAGCAACATCACTTAGGACTTGTTAGAAATGCAGAATCTCAGGCCCCACCCAGACCAATTGGATCAGGAACAGCATTTGTTTCCAAAGCCCAAGTTAATTTGTATGGCACGTTAGGGATTTGAGAAGACTGCCAACTTGCTTGAACCCAAGAATCATTCCAAGCACATGATAAGACTTTTCGATTTCCTGGTCTTTCTCCTGGTTGTATAGCTGTGGGATGGGTCCTGGAACTCCATGGCTAACAAGGGTCCCCAGTGGTTCATTTGATTCTCAAGTTGTAGCCAGCATGAAATAGTATAAGGAAATCAAACTTTACGGTCACACTGGAGGTAAGCAGTGAAATTTTTTCCTAAAATGCATTTTCCAATCTCTAGCTCTCCAGATGACATTGGGAGCCTCAATTTTTATCCGAAAACAGGCACCAGCAACCTAAAATCCTGTTTATGGTGCAATTCTAGCGTGAGCTGACCTGGCTTGCATGAGAGTTTTGGTTAAAGGGTACAAGGAGTGAAGAAGGATCACAGAATAAAGACATGAAAACAGAATGCACTTGTTTTTGTCACAGCTGTTTTGATTTTTTGCTAGAGGAAGCACTAACATTCTTTATTCAAATTAATTGGCAGTTAAACATTACGTAATTAATAGAGCTTGATTGTACATGCATTTTTTTGTGTTTTAAAGAAGGAAAAAGGAATGATGCAAGTTACAGAACAGTTGTCATCTCTTATACACCAGCCATTGGTGCTGACGTAGAAAGACTGCTGCTCCTTCCTTGCACGTCAGCTTTTCCATTGGGATGGGAGAAATCAAACCTAAAGTGCATTTTAAATCCCAGTGCAGTAGTCATTTAGTCACCTCCAGGTACTATTTTTAAAATGTTCAAAATAAGACTACAGGCAAACATTCTTTAGTCAACGTGTATTTCCAAAAGTGCCTAGGAGGAATTAGAAAACTGCCATTTCCCTCTTTTCCCCTTAAAAGTAGAGAATTGTCTTGAGGTGGCATGCAGGAATTTTGATGGATATGATGGGGAACACCTCCTCTAAAAATAGCCTCATTTCTCATCTATTTAGGTTGGATTATATGGCTTTGCTTGAAAAGAACAGAACCCTTATGGTGGCTCTTAACCTTTTTAGGCCACCAGTTCCTTTGAGAATCTGATGAAGGCTATCATCTTTTTCTCTAGGAAAATTCCCATGCATGCTGACATTTTTAGATTAGTTTCAGAGCTGAAGCCCATCCAGGATCTTTCCAATTCTAAAATTCCTTGATTTTCTATGAGGGATAACACCTGCTGTGGAGCAGTTACAGCAAGAATGGGATTAGCAAATGTTCTGATGCCCAGCACAATTTGTAGATATCTAGTAAATGCTCTGTGCATGTTAGCTCACTGAGTTGAGTTAAAAATAGTTGAAATCAAGTGAAGAATTTAAGGTCCTTGCCAATACTTATATTTCTATTCTCTGTAGTTTTAATGTAACCAGCCTATTTCCCTAATGCTAAAAATCAGTACATTTCCTGCATCATTTCTCTCTTAACTGCTTTCATAACTCTTCTTTGTCATTAGTTTTTAGAAGTTTGTGATGTATCTTGGCATGGATATCTTTGGGTTTATCCTGTTTGGGGTTCACTCGGTATCTGAGACTTAGAGTTTTATGCTTTTTTCCCAAATTTAGGAAATTTTCAGCCATTATTTCTTTTTACAAAAATTTCGCTCCACCTTCATTCTCCTTTTCTTCTAGGACTCCAGGGACCCGATGTTAGATCTTTTTGTTATAGTCTGATGCATACCTAAGGCTGTATTTATTTTTTCAGTCTTTTTTTTTCTCTTGTTCAGATTGGGTAATTTCTAGTATTGTGTCCTTAAGTTCACTGTTTCTGCTGTTGTGTTTTTAGTTCAAAACTTTCCATTTTGTTCTTTGTATCTTGTGTTTCTTCGTGGAGACCTGCGTTTTCATTTGTCTCAAGCATATTTGTGATTGCTCACTGAAGCAGCTTTTCATGGCTGCTTAAATCCTTGATAATCCTAACATCTCTGTCACCTCGGTGTTTAGCATCTGTTGATTGTCTTCTCATTCAAGTTGAGATCTTCCCGGTTCTTAGTATGATGATGACATCTGGACATTTTGGGTATTATATTTAAAAGGCTGTGGCTCTTATTTAAATTTTGTATTTTAACAGTCATCTGACACCACTCAATCCTTCGTAGGAAGGGAGGATGCCTTCTTCCTGCCAGATGCAGGTGGAAGCCTCATGACTGCTCCTCCTATGCCCTCCACTGACACTGGTGATACATTGCCTTGTTACCACCAGGTGGGAGTGGAGTCCAGGCTACCCACATGGTCTTCATGGGTACCCAGGGTAGAAGAGGAAGGTTCTTACTATTAACTGTTGAGGTTGAAAGTGCCAGCTCCCCACCCAGCCTTCTGTTATACAACCTCAGTGGGGAGCCTGGAACATCTACAGCCTGGTGAAAGTGGAGGTCTTGGCACTCCACTTAGCCTTTGCTGATGGTGGAAGTGAGGCTACAATTCTAAAAGTTTTCTGTTTCACTAAGCTGCACCTTTCCTATACCTGTAAATACTGGAGAGAATGGTCTTGTTTGTTTTCCAACCCCCCCCCGCCCCTTTATTTTTTTCAGTCTAAGCTCGTTGGCCTTTCTGGGCTACCAACTTCTCCAGTTCTCAATCTGAAACAGGAAGAAAAAAAACAAAAACAAAAACAGCGAACACACTACTTTGTTGTCCTTTGCTCTTGAGGTACCCTGCTGTTGTGCCTTCTTTCTGCCTTTCAGAATCATGTTTGTTTTATACATAATGTCCAGGGTTTTTAGCTATATTTAGTGGGAGGAATAGGAAAAAAGATGTCTACTCCATCTTCCTAGAAGTATAAGTCCTCTTGGTGCATATTTAAGGAGTGAATTTTCTGATATACTCCAGAGATGGAGAGATAAAACACCAGGAAAATTATTACCTCAAGGTATTTTACTCACAGACTTCTGTCCCCTCTTCTCCCACATCCACCTTCCCCTCTTCACCCATCCAACATACTGTTTATTCCTACCTTAACCCAATAGTCTCAGCTAGGGAGTGAGACTACACATCAAGAAATGCAGGGACGTAGATGAAGTTTGAGAAAATGGGCTGTATTCATATTTTGTCTCAGCATTGAGACTGCAAGTGGGAGCTTCTTGAAAAACTGATGTGATACCAATTGTGCCAACTAGCCAGGTCCAGGAAATCTCAGAAGCTACACCTCACATGCACCTGTGTCCTGCTGGGCTTTCTAGCTCTGTAGAAGCTTATCAAATGCCATTTCCAACCTTGGATATAGGAATGGTAATGCAGCTATAATGTCCGCAGCATATAATGAATGGAGGAGAATATTCTGTATATGACCCATCTCCCATCCAGAGGCTCTCATAACAGTCTCTTCAGTGGTACTATAGTAGAGGCTAAGGGTCCAAGCTATGGAATTTTAACAGACCTCCAACAATTAAAATGTAATAATGGGCAAGTCCCTTAATTTCTTTTAAATTTCTGTCTCCCTGTCTGATAGTTGGATGTAATAATAGTGTTTCTCTACTTCACCTCCTAGGTAGATGAGAAATATCTAAGGTAGTGTATGTGGAAGGGTTGCCTTGCTGTATGCTATTATTTTTCGTAGTGTTTAGATATATTTCCTAAACAGAAGGGGGAAAAAACTTTACAAGCGTCAATTTTGAATTTTTAAAGAGGATATATTAAAAGTTAATATGAACAAATCCTATATCAAACTTTAATTTTAATTTTGACATTTTCCCAAGTCCTAACAGGCCCTTGAAGATGATACTCAGTCTTTGTTTTTTCTTACTGTAGTCCTTCCCAACACACACAATTCTAGCTTACAAATTGATAAAGCTCAAAGACATCCATGAAGAAAAGAAGATTCGACTACCCTAAAATTTTTTTAAATCTTCTTGTTTGTACCTCATGCTCTCGAAGGGGAAAAAAAGGAAAGAAAATAATTGATTCTTTTTTAATGATTCTTAATGTGTTAACCGTGGGTTTCTTCCTAAGTAGCGTAACAGAAGCTTAGAGCAACTGCCCGAGTCATTTAAGGAAATGCAAGGAATTTGGGTTTTCCTGTTCAGGAAAATAGCAGATTTGGTCCATATTCCACCAAGAAAAATACTGACAAATCTCATCTCTTTAGAAGTCATGAAATTATAAACTACATATAATGTGTTTAATGTTTGTTTCCTATGGTGGGGAATAGAGAGGATTTACTAATCCCAGACGTGATTTTCACTCATAGGTGAAAATAGGGCCAAATCAATAAATAAATTTGCACAATAGCGTGGTTTTTTTTTCTAATTTTCAGTAACTTAATTTTTCTAAGTACTTCTATAACTGACTGATATACATCTAACATCTAAATGCAAAATGCAGAAGACCAGAAAAATATATGATCGCTGCAAAAAAAAGGTAATGTTTAATTTCTCATTGATTTGTAAGTATCAGAGCTAAAGTACTTTTCTCACACATATTTCCACTGGATCCATTTTATATGGGTGATTAAAATTTTGAAAATATTAGTTGGCACTTCATAATATGAAATGAAATTATGAAATTTTATATACAAGAGGGTTAATTATTTTTAAAAGGCTAATCATGTAGCACTTTGTTAAACATAGGGATTATAAATACTGTATTTCTCAATATTAATCAAGATAATTAT